CAGAAATCGAGACCCATCAGACCAGGCAATGTTTTTCCTATCCTCTGTTGTCCAATTTTGGTGAGCTCTTGCAAATTGTAGCCTAAGTTTCTTCTTCTTGGCTGACAGGAGTGGCAACCAGTGTCAATGTCTGGGCATCATCCTGATGAGTCGATGGATAGTGTCCTGGGAGATCCTCTTCCAGACCTGGATCAGGACATCAGTGAGCTCCTGGACAGTCTGTGGTGGTACTTGGCAGTGTCAGATACACTGATATAAAACGTTCCATAGGTGCTCAATTGGATTTAGGTCAGGGGAACAAGAGGGACAGTTATAGCATCAATGCCTTCGTCATCCAGGAACTGCCTGCACACTCTGGCCACATGAGGCCAGGCATTGTCCTGCACCAGGAGGACCCCAGGGCCCACTGCACCAGCATAAGGTCTGACAGTCGCTCTGAGGATTTCATCCTGGTACCTAACAGCAGTCAGGGTACCGAGGACAGAGCCCATGGGCCTCCCCTGGGTCAGGAAAGACGGGACTCGCCAGTGACGCAGCACTCTGACGCACTCCACTGTGACCGGCACTCTCCGTGCGCAATGACACACGGGGTCCAGCCTGAGGGAAGACACCCAGTACTGGAATTCCCTCATGTGGAGGCGGCCAAGATGGACTACGAGAATGGCAGACGCCATCAGCCCGAGTAATCGAAGACATAATCTGAATTGAACAGATCTGCGTAGACGAAAAAGCGCGAGGCACGCCCTGAAGGTCTTTACTCTCTCCGCCGAGAGGCGAGCTGTGAAAGACACCGAGTCCAGCAACAATCCCAGAAAGATTACGCTCTGTGCCGGAGATAGCACGCTCTTTTCCGCATTTATCACGAAACCCAAGTCGGATAGGTGTCGTATGAGAGTACGGGTGTGCGTCCTGGCTTCCTTCTCCGTTTGCTCTAACAGCAGCCAATCGTCCAGGTACGTGGCCAGGCGGATGCCCTGCCGCCTCAGCGGGGCTATTGCCGCCTCCGGGCACCATACGAACACCCTCGGGCTCAGAGACAAGCCGAAGGGGAGTACGCAGTACTTGTATCATACCCTGTGGAAAGCGAATCTTTCTGTGAGGAGGATAAATTGGAATGTGGAAATACGCGTCTTTCAGATCGATGGATGTGAACCAATCGTCTTGTCATACTAGACACAACAGGGATGCGTGCGTGAGCATCCTGAATTTGTATTTCCTGAGATATTTGTTCAGAGCCCGTAGATCCAGGATAGGGCGAATACCGCTCCCCCCCCCCCCCCCCGTTTGGGGACCAGAAAATACCTGGAGTAAAAACCGCTCTGACTTTGTGCGGGAGGAACGACACATATTGCTCTTTTGTTCAACAGCGAGAGGATTTCCTTCTGTAAAACGCGAGCTGACTCCCCCTGCGCCTGGGAATGCACTATGCTGGAGAACCGGGGAGGAACGACGGCGAATTGAAGCCTCCTATCCCCACGAAATCGTTCTTAGCACCCAGGGCGAGGCTGCCAGCGCGGCCCATCTCTCCCGTCTGGCTGCGCAGCCCGGGCTGGGGTGATGAAGATGTCATCGTCCTCTTCATCCTCTGATATGAGGATATCCGAGGCCTCATCTTCATCTTCTCCATAGTTCAATTCCAGGACGTCCTCCTCTGGCAGGAGAACTGGAGCCAGGTCCAGCTGTGAGCCCCAGCTGGCACTAGCTGCCGGTATCACCTCCGCAGTGGCTTCCCTCTCCTCCGCTTTGAACCAGGTGTTTGCCGGTTGGAAGGTAGGGGTCACGTCCAGACAAGCCGTCTGCGGAGACTTTTGACGGTAAACACAGCGCAGTGTTGACACGAGCCGGGAACATCGATAGCTAGCCGGGCATGTTCCAGCCCTAAGCAGCTCGAGCAAACCTGGTGTGTGTCTTTGCTCGAAATCTTATTTCCACAGCGACAGGCACGGGCCCCAGAGCCTCCGGTAACTCTGGTGTTAGGAGTTTTGGCCTGCATTCCTCGAGAGCTGGTGCGCTGGCATGGAGTCGAGGCAGCTAGCTGGTGTGCTAACTGTGAAGACGTCAAGAGATTAGCTGGAATGCTAATGCTCGACGAAGCTCAAGCTACCGTGGTGAGGAGCCGAGTAAAGATTACCAAGCCGTGGAGGGCGAGGAAAACACCAAATCCGATCTGGTGTGATCGAAAAAGAAGCAAATCCAAGCTAACGTTACCTAGCGCCTGGCGACGGAAGCTAAATAAGAGCCGTCTGTGGATGGTTAAGCTAGCTAGCTCCTGACGCGAGATATGTTCCAAGTGAGAAGAGGTGTTTGAATGAGACTGTGTCGTCCGCAGCAGCTATTTAAGGTAGGCGGCACTACCTGGTGCGGACGAACACGTTCACCAGCCAATCAGGATTGGCGTAATGAGATTAATGCTTCTGAGGTCTGCAGCGAGGCGTGCATCCCATAGTGAGACATCGAAACGAATATTATGAAAGAGAACATCTATTTAGATGAGTTTTATGTTTTTAATTCAAACAATGACATGATTTGAGTTAGTTTTCATAAAGTGGCTTCCTGTGTGTCAAATAACTGATTTAAAAATACCACTGCTGGTTTATAAAGCACTGAATGGTTTAAGGCCATAATACATCTCTGTTCTGCTACAGTATGTTATGAATTGCCCAGACCTCCCAGATCATCTGGGAGATGTTTACTTACTGTTCCAAAGCTCAGTTCTTGTAAATGAAGGCTCAAAATGTTTCTGCCTTTAAGTGAAATTTGGAGCTATTTATTTATATACATCATTTATTCTCCTTATCTGTTCTACTCAATTTTTGCTTATTTTTGTCTTTGAATTTACTTTATTCTATTCAAATCATCTTTATGTCTTTTTATACAGCCTCATGTTTCTTTTTGTGTCCCATTTAATGCCTTTTTATCTCTGATGCAAAGCACTCTGAAAATCCATGAACTTGCTTTGCCTAGAGGTAAGTGAGAGATGTTTTGGGTGAGCTGGCCCAACAAGCATTGTGTCAACCTAAAAACAAGCCTTTTCTTCGCAGTGACTGTGATGTTTGGTGACGTCAGGTTTTCACTTGACAGCATCTTCTCTGGCCGGCTCTGTTGCAAAGAAAGTTGTGTAACAATATCATGAAGCAAACATGCTTTTAGCTGTTCTCTCAAGTCGTGGATTAAAGGATTTGACACCCAACCCCCTGGTCCATGGTCCATTGTTGAAATGAAAGCCAGTGGCAAACTGTGTGAGTCGCAGCGAGCCACAGCGAGGCCATGCACCATATGGTGAAGTCTTGCTACACGGCCGCTGATCCGCCATCAAAGCCCATTGTTTCTGCTTTGTTCAGGCTTCAAAGGGAATACTGGTCAGTCTGGAAAACCGCACAGTCAAATGCTGCAGTGTGCAGCTGGGGGGGCTCTGGGAGGCAGGTATTCATCTCTGTGTAGTTAAAACTTTATCAGGAATCCTGCAGAAACATGTGCATGTGAACAAACAAGCTGTTGGCAAAGTGCCTGAGCTGAGTTGTTCTAAAAGGTTCCACTTGTGGTGGGTGTACATAATGATTCAAATGAAGATCCTCAGAATGCGTCAGATGGTTATTATTAGACAAGAAGCCTGTATCTTCTTGTCAGTTTTTCAATTAAAGGAAAAAAGACCAATTTTCATCAACACAGATGGATTTCTGAAAACGTACTTATAATGGATTTTGAGTGGGCTTCATGCAAACTGGCATATTTGATAAACCTGTACAGGACGTAATGCTAGATATTCTTGCAGTTTCACTTTTTAATTTTTCACTTAACCCTTTCCCCAAACAGAAGCTGTCCAAATGTAGCAACTGTATCTAAGCACAGCAGGCCTTTCAGGTTCTGGATCACTCTACATGCTGAAGATGCGTGCATGGGCTGTACATAGACAGACTCAGAATTAGATGGGTTTGAAGATTCTTGCAATTCCAGAACTTAAACACAAGAGTAACAGTGTGATGAATGCATTAATCTGTGTTTATGTGCGCCAACATAAGCTGCAAATGTTAGCATGTCTGGCTAACTAGTTCACTAATCAAACCCAGGTTTACTTCCAAGGCCAAGGAACATTACCTAACATTTTACCTTGTAAAAACCATTAATCAAACACAGCAGACACACTGAGCAGCATTTTCTCCCTGTGTGGAAACCAGTCCAGGATGCTAGCACTGCATATCAGAGTTAAGTTTAGCATTAACACTTGTTTTCTAGAGTCAGTTAGTCCTCACCCTCTCTTGTAACATTAAAAGTGAAACAGGTGACATTGGACGAGAGGCAGGGTACACCTTGGACAGGTCACCAGACTATCGCAGGGCTAACACATAGAGTCAGACAACCATTCACAATCACTTTCACACCTACGGCCAATTTAGAGTCACCAATTAACCTGCATGTCTTTGGACTGTGGGAGGAAGGTGGAGTACCTGCAGAAAACCCATGCTGACTCGGGGAGAACATACAATAAAACCAAATTTGTAAGCTAAGTAGATTCAGACTTTTAATTTTTACCATCTTACTTATAACACCAGAACTACAACAATGCTGTGTCTTTCTTTATCTGTCCTTTTTGCCTGGGATACGTAGCTTTAGCCTCGGTCTTTTAGTACAATACGTAGCCATCAAATGCATATTTAAGACCATACTTACGTTACCATACATACAGGCATCTCATTTCAAAAACAGTCAGCTGAAAACATTGAAAAGTCTGTCATGTTTTCCGCCTACTCATGGTACTACGCTTTGCTTAGTTAGCTAGCTGTTCTAAAAAAAATCTGCCAGTGACAGTTGTCATTTATAGCACTGCTAGTTAGAAATGAGAGGCATGGTTAAGTCAACTTTTGTCTGTCTGTATCAAGGTCCCACTGTTTCAATAGATAGTATGAATTGAAATAGCTTCACCTCCCATTCAGTTGACAAGCAATCATGCCATTTGTTGCCTTTCGGTCTGAACAAAGACACGAGGAATGACACCTCCATACCTGTCCGTCAGAGGAGTGATGACTAATCGTGGCGTGTTGCCCAGGTATTCGTAGGAGTAGAGAAACTGGGCATCGCAAATGTTGGCAAAACAATGCCTCTCCTTTTCATCCCATCGGTGTCTCAGCTGGGAGAGCCACACAAAGGCCTGAGAGTTCTCCACCTTAAAAAAAGACAGAGTTGAATAGAGCGTGCCAAGGCTTGAAATAAAGCCAGAAATAATCTGAGCTTTCCCACCCTCTAATTATGGTAATGACATGCCTTGCTTGAATATCTTGAGTGCATTACTCACTAGTAATAGCCTCTCAAAAAATACAGCAGCAATCATGGTGTCTGCATACGAATTCATACAGTACAGGTTCTCGGCCACATTTCTCCACCATGCCGCTCCTCACCTTCTGAGCGATCATCTTGGCCACCACGTCTCTTGCATGGACGTCAATGGTGCAGATCGTCATGACCTTCCGTCGATCGCCAGGTGTAAGCTGCCCAATCAGCATGGAGATGAGGGTATTAAGCTGGGACACCTGTTTCTTGTAGTACTCTTTCATGGCGTTGTCATAGCCCTCCTCAAGACGGGCAAACGCCATGCCGACGTCAGAAGTCCACCAGATTTGTGTGCAGGTCAATGCCACCTAAGAGGCAAACAAAGAAATTAAAAGGCATATTCTGTACACAAAATGCAGTTGATAGGATTCATGTAGATGAACTCCTGTATTTGAGGGTATACTATGCAGGAATTGTTGTTTACTGTGTGTAAACACAACATTCAGACAGGACCCTCCTCCCTACACTGCTTGTACATACAACGCAAGCTAGCGTTTCTGTTGTAGGAATATTACATTTGTTGCACGGAGGAGCCAAATAATAAAAATAATTGCTGTTAGGCTAATCTTGTTTTTCCTCCTCCTTCCAAAAGTTGAAATTAATTTTCTTAGTTGGGAGGGAGTTGTCCCTCTCACTTTTTAGAACTCTGGTCCCCTCCTGTTTGATTTCCTCTTTAAACTCTCTTACTATCCAGCTGTCATGATCCACATGAGAGAAGCTCTGACTTGATAAAAACACATTCATTAACGTCACCTTATTGCACTACCATGCATTTACAGCAATGAACTTTATTTGGGCCAGTGTCACAAACTGGCTCAAGGAATGTGAAAGAGGGAGTCCACACAAGGTCATACCTTAAACAAACATCATATTAAACTAAAGTTAACAATGAAGCAACGGAACATTGAAGCAGTGCATTGTTCCATCCATCACACACAACACAGGAGGTGTGTCGTGTGTGGTGGAAGGGCTAATGTCAACTGAAAGGAGGGAGACAGAGGCCAAATCCCAATGTCCACCTTAAGCCCCGAACCCTGACGTCACTTGGTAATGAGTGTATGAGTGTACGAAGTTGCCAAGGCCTCCAAATGGTATAGACAGGAATGGGACAGCACTTTGCCACATATCACTTAACCCTGACGACAGCAAAAGGTTCCATACAATTGTGGGTTTGGGACATTATTTTACTTTTTTGACTTTTGCTCACTGTTTGTGAACAAAATAGTGATGCTGGATCAGATCTGATGGAAGCACATTTGGAAATCATAATAACGCAACTACACACAGTTCTGCTTATGAATCACCAGTGAGGTATATATTTATACTTAGATGTAAACTTCTTTTTACTTGGTTGCTCTTTCCCTGTTAGTTTACTGTTTATCTTAACACCTTTGGTCTTCCCTGGTAACCCCATCTTTTAACGTCACAACACTATGAGCTGTGGGTTATTCCCTAAAGCAAAGTCTGCAGCCATGCGGACTTATGAAAAGTGTGTATAAAGAGGCTTGTTTGAGTTGAGCTAGGCCTGTACAGATTCAATCAATGCTGAACGCTGTACAATGCATGCCAGTTTGTGTCTGACTTCATCCCTACTTGCTCTGACGTCATGCACAAGTGGACAACCGTATTCTCACCAGATCGAAGCGGCTGCAGTTTTTGGAGCCAGTTGCAGTTGCAGCTCTCTACCGACTGCAAGACCCAGGGCACGATGGGAAATGCTTGGCTCTCACTTGATCTAACAGCTGATTGGTTTAGATGTTGACTCAGCAACATGACGTTTTAGATAAACTTTTCATTTTTGTTGAATCAGAGATTTTTATTTCTGTCTGATTTGAGGGTTCATTCTGTTAACAGAATACATGCTGTGTGGCTGATGATGTTGTTTAGTAAGGAGACTAATTACTTTCATATCACAGATCAGAAACTATACATAGTTTATTGTTTATTGTTATTTGACTGTTATAATTACTGAAGTATTTAGCAACACAAAGACTTGTGGTAAGTGAGATGTATAGATTCCTTAAATAACATCTGTATAGATGTGAAGCCCAGACTATATATGACAGATCTTCAATGAAAGCTGTTGTCCGTTTCTTTCCTGTGTTTGACTATTAATATTTTCAATTTATCTATGTAGTTTGAGGGGACAGGTCTGCTCTGTAAGTTATGTAAAATGCAAGTTGAACCACAAGCAGAAACAACAGATCATTTGTACAGTATTTTAATAGGCTACTCTGTCATAATTACAACTACAGACTGTGAACAAATTGATATATGGGCCTGATTAAATTTTAGTAAATTGGGATTAGATCTAACAAGATGTGTGTGTTTCTGTGACTTCCTTTTACAGACTGAAGGCTGCCGGAAGCTGTCAGACTTGACCATGGGTTTTGTCACCACCCCCTGCTGTGGCTGCCTCGCCCCGTTCATTTTTCAGGCAAGGTGCAGTTCATCTCGAACAAGCCTAAAGGCTCACAAAGTGTGCGAGAGAGCCCTCATGCACTCGAAGATTTGACAGTGGGACAGCTCTAAGCCCTCTGGGACTTAATGGGAATGTGCCTCAAACTCTGAGAGTCCGTGAGCGTGTACATTGGGATCAGACCAGAGTGGCCTAAAGGCTAAGGTGAGCCTAATCAGCTGATGACCTTCCTGTGTTGGCCAACTAACTGCTGAGGTTGGCCAGGAAAGCCTATAAGACAGTGGGAAGCGACTCACACCAGTGAATGCCTTACAATTTTTTTGCCCCAAGTTTTGCCTCTCAGGTTTCCCCAAGCCTCTGATTGTTTTGAGGGTTTTTCTCATTTGTCTATTTTGTGCCTCTTCGTCTCCTCTCTTCTCCGTCTTCTGCCTGTGATCCAGATATCGATCTCAACGCGTCATCTTGAAGGATGTCTCAATTCCTGAAATGCATCTCAAGGAGAGGAGGCTGCAAGAGGAGCTATGAGTGAGGATGCACAGGTGTATCCTCTTTTTAGAAATGGTGACGTATAATAGAGGGAGACAGCACTGGAATATACATACCATGGCAAAATGAATTAAAAGTAAATATATAAGTTGTTTTGAACACTGTTATGCTCATCTGACAGAGATCATAAAATACAGCTGTAGGCTATAACATTAACAATGGAGAGATGATGCAGCTGTGCCACACAGCATATTTACTCAACGGTGCTTTACAATGATGACTCCGAGGCCATCAATAGAGTGTAAAATCCCTACAGAGTGCAACTAAACTTCTCTTTGTTTTGTTAATACATTGAATTGTGCCATTTACAAGCTCTCCTTCACTCTTCTGGAGGGCGGTACCAGGAGCACACTGCATAATGAGCTGCTGCTTTAGTAAATAGGAGTAAATCTGGCCGTCAGCTGCAAAGTTCTTACACTGATGATTTATAACTTTCTTCAGTAACAAGTTGTTAATCTACAGTCAATGAAAAAACTTTGCTGAATTACTAACAGATTGATCTTCGTCCTCTGTTGGTCACATTGTTACCTGGAGAGTGATTCAGCACCTGTTTTGTTTTTTGGGTTTTTTTTTACCTGTGCTTTTATAAAGTTAACACTATTGATCCTGAAGTTGATTTCATCACTTCTCTAAAGCCCTGAACTGCTGTTCGTTCAGCAGGGTAACACACCAGAGTCAGTGATGTTTTACCATTTAGAGCATCAAATACTTTCTTTGAGACAATCCTTGGCATTTCCAGGTAGGGACAAGTGTTCCATTATCATAGACATACACCTACATTTGTTCTCACTTCCTACCCCTCTCTTTCTCACTGTTCAAAATACTCAACAGGATCTGGCTGCAAACTGTGTATGTAAAGCATTAGTGAGTGTGTGCACTGGACTGCAATATCTCTGAGAGGCATAGACATGATTATGGTACTAATCCATCAGATGTTGGATAAAGTGACTAACGGGTAAAAATCCCCAAAGTGAGTGTCGTCAGCTGAATCTATACATACACCCCACTGAGCCTGTTTACCTGAGCAGGATAGTCAAACAGCCACTGCTCTCTGGGTTTGTCCTCATAGGCTGTCACCGCCTCAGTCATCTCATGTCGGACCGTGGAGCGCATGCTGTCCAGGACCCGGTTTAGCCACAACTCCACCTTACACAAAACACACAAATTCCAAAGGCAGGCCCATGAATACACATGTTGAAAAATGTTGCAATGTGTGTCACATGAGCACTGACGGGCTCTCTTATCAATGGACCCTAATGAGGTCATTAATAAGCATTAGAGTGGAAGTGGAGTCAGGCAAATACTATGGGATGTAATGGAAAATTAATGGATTTATAGGCTTTGATATGCAAAACCCCAGGGGCAACGACAGACTCAATTCCATTTGCCTCCTATATTGTGAAGTGTGATATCTATATGATATGTATTTTCTTTCATTATAGAAAAGGGCAGGTGAGTGAATTTCCTCATCTATTGGAGTCATCCACAGCTGTAGTGTCACTGTCAGCAGTAAGTCTAATGAAGATAATATGAATGAATAAACATCTTAAGCATTTAGCTCAACCTACAGAACTTATGGTACTACAATGTTAGAGACATGAATCAATGATTATGGGTGTACTTTACCTGTCCAGTACAATCACAAGGCTCATTAAAGGGGACATATTCGTCCTCCTTGCTGTACATGCCCAGACCAGTCTTAGAAGGATTCCCCTCTCCATCTGCTTCAAACTGCATCTTAGCCATGTTGTCAAACAGCTTAGACAGATGCTTCTGGACCTGAGCAAACAAACAGACACATTCAGCTCAGGCTCAATTCACACTCAGCTCACGGTCTGACTGGTATTTTCTTTGCCGCCACACAAATAAATAACGTTTCATTACTGTTTTTCAGAATCATTTAGAGAAGGGCAGGACCCATGTTCTGCAGCATGCCTGCTAACTTCCTCTTTAGAGAGATTTAGTGGCAAGTTGTGCTTAACAGTGATTTATTTCTCCACGGTGGAAATGCATAAGACAATGTCCTGATGATGGAGGTTGGAGTAGGCTGCAAAACTATGAGCGACATTGCCCCTGTGTGGACACTATGGGTACTAAAAAGTCAACAGCACACAGCAAAAGAACTACATGGTGCTATGGAACATGGTTTAAGAAATCTATTACAAAGCAACTTTAGAAGGTGCAATGCATGGCGCAATATGTTATTTTTCTGAATTTGAAGTAAGCGGCAGACTGAAGCATAACATTCATTGTTACCCTTAAAGCAAAATGAGAGGAGCTACCTGGTTTGGGTTAGTCCCATTTGACAGGATGTCCAGCAGATCAGCTGAAGAGATAAAGTAAAATCTTGGGAAGGCCAGACGCTTGGTGTCCAGATATTCTGCCAGAGCTTTTTCACATAGAGAAAGCCTGTAAAAAAAAATTAAAGAGTCAGTCTGCATCCATGTGTAAGAAGAATAAACCAAGAGTACACAAGTTCTCCTGATAACAGATTTAAGGAGTAGAAACAGAGAACTCTCACCTGCTTTGGATGTCCTCCAGTTTACCAAACAGCCCTGGTTTATTCGTGGCCTCCACTACATTGGGCGTTTGATGCACTGCGTTCGCCAGCTCTTTGAAATCAGCATCAATCCCCTCGAAGCGCCTGGAGTCCTGCAGGGGATTTCATGAGGGAGCCCAGCCAAGGGATTTAGGTTCCCAAAAGAGAGAGGGGGAGAATCAGGGTTTAATAGCAAACATCTGGGTTTAAGCACAACCTAAATGATGTGGGAGCAATTAAAAAGTTGTGTAATCTCAGCTCTTAAATGAGGAGTACGAGCCAATTAATGCATTCCTAATTAACAGCTACAGCAGTCTTGCTATCTGGGTTCACATGGCAATGACAAGGGCGCAGGTCGAGGCCTGCATGCATGTCAGCTTGTCAGTGATGTATACCTATAGAGCTGTAATTAACTGTGTGCATGAATGTGGTTCAGTGTGGGACCTCAGGCAGCTGTGAGCGAATATCCTCGGAGCCAATGAAGATGCTTTCCAGGTGGGTCCATGTTCGCTGCACCTCGAACCAGATGGAGATGACAGAGTCAGCCACGGACAGCTTGCTCTGCCATGATGACACTTCATCCAGGAAGTAGGCGATGTACTTGGATGACATGAGGTTCTGCAGCTGCACTTGGTTGTCCTCCAGAGTCTCGATCAGTTCTTCGTCTGTGCGCAGCAGAGGCACCTGGGTCCGGTGGTGGGGCTCATACTGGAACTGCATGCCTGGATGGGATCAATTCACTCAAAAGGTCACAAAGTCTGGGTGGCAGGATGAAAAACTCTCAGGTTGGAGGAGTGCAACCACAACAAATTGGGCCCTATTTAGATGGTCTAAAACACGAAGCGCCAGGCGTTTGGCGCATGGGCGTGTCCCAGTCACTTGCTAGTTAGACAGCGCATTTTTAGACTGTGCGCCATGGCGGAGAGTCTAAAAGGGTTGGACTTACTCTGTGAATTAGTCATGGGTGTGTTTTGGGCGTATCATTCAATAAGCCAATCAGAGTGTCACCTCTCATTCCCTTTAAAAGAGGCGCGATTGGAGCGCATGGCGGAGAGCTAGTTAGATGGCAGACCTACCAACTGGAAAGGGTGAGCGTTTTACAGCTGAGAAGACAGAGCTCCTCGTGCGGGAGGTGAAGGCCCGTCAGAACCAGATCTACGGGGACAGCAGACAGGCACCCAAGCTCCCCGAGGTAAAGCACGCGTGGGATCACTAATACAAGAAAGATCTTACTAAATATCTGTGGAATATTATTCAAACCTGTTTTCATCATATAAAAGAGCACAGCTGTCAGGTCTGCGGCAGAGCTCCCCAAGGTGCTGATCCTGCAGCTAGGACTTGTTCAGCGTTTTCTCCCCCACCCACGTTTGTTAATTGTTTTCACATGTTTTCTAGAGCTGTGTTCTGCCTCTTATTTGCATGTGTGTCCTCTCTACACTCAGATAACAACAACATAATATAATATAATGTAGCCTAGTATAACATGTTAAAATAAATGCAATGTGTGGGCTTTGGTTTTCAATCAAAAAAATGATTGATTGGTCAGATAATTTCACAATTTCATTTGTCATTATTACACATTATGATGATCATTATTACTGCGATTAGATCATTCTGATTAATGACTGACCATTAAAACGTGTTTCTGATAAATATTTTAATGTGCACAATAATAACCTTTTACATTGTAATCATATTTTTATTTGTTATCTTTTGCATGTGTGGCTGCTCCGTGTGTGTCTGAGCAGAGTGCACGATGCATATTACTAACTTGTTTAACAGCGAAATACTGCGCCGTTGACTTTAGACCAGGTTTTTGTTGGTCACTGGCACATTTGCTTTTTACGTCATCTAATTAGCAACACGCCATGACTGCGCCTGACCACTCCTCATTTTTAGACCAACACACCCAGGGAAGCGCAAGTTCATTTGCTAATTAGACGACGAGGGCGCAGGGTGTGAAAATGACAACTGTGCCTGCATCTAAATACCAATGACTCTTGCGACATGGATTATGCGCCCTCCGCCAGTCCGCTTTAGACCATCTAAATAGGGCCCATTGTCCCTTGCTGTACCTGTCCATGTGGAGTTAAGCTCAGAGAGGACTTTCTCCATTCCCATCTCTTTAACAGCCTTGTCCACGATCCCTCTCACCTCCTCTTCAAAGCAGTGCAGGTTCAGCTGCAGCAGGTCGGCAAGAGTGGTCTCCTGCTCAGAGAATACCACAAAGTTACTTTACCCACACTTTATCTGTGCTGCACAATATAATATGATAATATCAGTAGCATATTACTGGTGAGCACCGGCTGATTGCTGGTTTCGTTTTAACAAGGACACACAGTGTGATTAATGTGAAGCAGTAGAAACCTGCCATTATAATCAAACTGCAGAGGAGTCACACCTGCAGTTTTCTGTCCAATTTGCAATTTAAGTGCTTCTGCAAATTTTGACATGTGTCACCTGAAGGCAATGGCAGTTACTACAGCAGTAACACTCATTGCCTGCAGGTGGCAGCAGTAAGTGTTAACTTTTCCATCCACAGCAGGAGCCTCACACTATGAGCAGAGCAGAACACTTGTCAAACATAGGACAGCAGATATTACTGAGGCTTTAATAATAAACATAATATCCAATACACTGAGGTTGAAACCAGTGTTTCAACTGATAAACCTGTGCTGTTTGTCTAATTGTAGTCACTGGATGTAACTTCAGCTGTATGAGTACAAGAACTGCAGGGAGAGCAAGAGGAAGTGAGACTGTGTCTGGATGCAGTCTAACTCACTGTGAAAGATTTGTGACCAGATTTTTCAGTTTAGAAAAATGTAATGCAGTAACGATTAGGGCTGACCGCTAATAGTTGACCAAATGTTAGTCAACCAGAAAGGTCATTAGTCAGCAAGATTTCATTTGTTGCTTAGTCGCAGAAAGAAAAAAAAAGTGAAACTCTATTAGGAGCTGTACCTTGTTAAAATAAATCAAAACCTCTATGACTGGTCCATGTTGGAATATGGACACCGGAAGTGGCCACACTCAGCAGTCAGACAGGAGTCATGTTAATTCACTGGGCTGGTACCTGCAGTTATTACACAAGCTAGTCAATAACATCTCGGGCGGGAAATCCAAAGTGTGGGATCATTTTGAGAAGGTGAAGGATGAACGGTGATGTGTAAACTCTGCAGGCAAATATTTACCTATCATTCGTCCACTACAAACATGACGTATCATTTGAAACATGTAAGTAGCTACATGATCATTAGCCACTTAGCACAATCATTACTGCTTTGCCGACGGAGTAACTAACAGGTGGCTCGCTCAGGGTGCGACATGCACTTGTAGATAAAATATAGGCCTATTTTAATTAAGGTTCCTTAGTACGGTTCTGTATTTCTTTGTAATTCAGCACAGTGTTAAAGTTGACTGGGAAAATTCCTCATCGGGGGCAGCCCTGGTAACAATACACACCTTTCATGACGTACATCTGCCAATGCGCATTTAACCCACATTGAACCATTCATATGAGTCAGCTAGAGAATTCAGTCTGCAGTGTAGTTCATACAGTACATCCCGCTCCCTTTTGGATGCACTAAAGAAAAGGTCTAAGGGGCTGTGCACATGCCACGTCTTTAACCGCCTGGAAAACACGAGGACGGGGGCTGGGTGCTACTTTTGTGGCTTTTTTGAGCCAGCTTTCAAAAGCGCAGCAGCAATTCGCATCTGAGGTTGCTAAGCAACCTTAACAAGCACCATATTATAGCCTATTTACCTGAAATCCTGAGTGCAGAGCTGACTGTCTCCCAGGTGCTGTTAATAAGTGTTTGGGCATACCATCCATGGGACAGATGAAAAGCTCTGAGTAGCCCTAAATCATCAACTTTTCCATATTTATCACAGATTGATTTTTACAGAAGAAGGGAAAGATATCTGTTGGCTGTGATCGGTTGTTCCCCATCACTTGACATGTGGTGCGCTCTGCTGCGTTCAAAAAGTTGAACGCAGTTTATCTCAGAGTGCAGCCGTCGCACCCTGAAAAATAGGTGCTGGGAATGTGTGCACGCTGCAACAGCATTGCTCTGGCGTTTGAGCGCGCCTGGTGCATGTCTACATTGAAAACAATGAATTTAAGGGCACAAAAAATGCGGTATGTGTACGGCCCCTAAAAGTGCAGTTACTGAGTTTAGTGTTGAAGTTGTTAGAGTTTGCGTTGTTCTAAATTTTGACATTCTTACTGCAGATGTACAGTATACTGGTTCAAAATATTGAAATACAGAGCTGGAGCAGAAATTATGAAAATAATTGGAGAAAACTGCCCTGTGTGTATCCAAGGCCTTAAATGATCAGCACATTGTTAACACCGCTGCTCATTTTAGATAAAAAAAAAAACAGAAATTGTAGCAAGTATACAGCTCATTAGTATAGAACTATATCCACAGTATGTCCATCTTTAGAATTAACTGGAAACCTGGTCCATGGTGAAGCAGACTCCAGTAGCAGCCATCAGCTGATGCCAGTGTCGGGCTCGTATGGCCGGGTTCTGGAGCTCTGCCACAGCCCGGAGGGAGATGAGGAGGTTCTTTACCCTACTGTCCAAACCTGTGAAGGCCTCCCACGCTCGAACCTAATCAAACACAAAGGCCAGGAATCACTACAAGGGCTTTTGACAGAGACTAGGGAGCTTGAAGCTGCATTTCAGGATTTATTTATTCTGCTGAAGTTGACATTAATGCATTTACACACATTTGGTCATTTCCTGTCTTGCTTAAGGGACTATGACTTCCAGCTGCAGTGGAGAGTAAAGACGATGGAAAATCATGGCTCTCCTTTCCCTTACAAACTCTTTGCTTTTGAGCAAGGCACTTGACTCCCAACTGAGTGTCAGCTAAGCCCTGACCTGCTTGTTTACTGTTGCTACACCTGACAAGCTTTATTCTTGCGCGGCACAAATGCCAATTACAATGATAATGGATAGATTTACTACTCAAATATTAATAATCATTTTGAATCAAGGGGTCCTTGATTTCAGACAGATATTTACAAAGCTTCTAATTTCTAGCTAGTAGGCTTGGGCAGTATCCATTTTTTCATACCTACATACCTTCCTGAAATTTTACCGGGGTGTACGATATATGACTGTATTGTGCGGCCCTGGTTTAACCATTAATTCATAGAGTTAGATGTAAAAAATATTCTGTTATTCCATGAGCTCACTCTCTCTATGCTATTGCAGCTGTTACGTTCGGTAACGTTATTTCTACCCCCCAAAAATTGCTGTTCAAGTGTCTGTCAGCTCAGCTCCCCGTCCCACCAGTAGAGACTGGAGACTAATCTCTGGTGGCGCATGATGTGTGCTACATGCAATGAGTTTAATAGAGAAAGGGGCATCTGTATTTTTGACATTTTACATGTGATACTGCCCAAGCCTAATAGCCAGCAAACATCAACACTGTTGGCTAAAGTAACAACTGTTGCTGACAGAGTATCAATTGTAGCTATCTAACTATTTAAGCTAATGTTAGCACCAGCTGTCTCCAGCTGAAAGAATAATGCTTTCAGCTCTTGTTTGAAAATCTTTAAAGGGGTCTTAAATGTGCACTTGATAGCCTCATACAAGACGCCATGCTAAAAGACCAATGCCAAGTCCACACTGGACAAGGAAGCGCCTCAATGTGTCAGCTGTCGTGTGTGCAGTCGCCTGGCACTGGTCAGCAAGTGATTCTGCTCCTCTGCTCTTTTTTAATTACATGTAGGGCTCTCTCTCTCTGTCTGCGTGTGTGTGTGTGTGTCTGCTCATCTCTTTTGCTCTCTTTTTGACACTGACAAATATGTGGAATAAGTAAGCATGGGATGCATATTTTATCATTTATCATAATCAGATCTGTGTCAGTGCAAGTTTTCTCTGTGTTCTCCAGCTTCCTCCCACTGTCCAAAAACATGCAGGTCAGGTTAACCAATGATAATCAGATCATGTATATCATATATAACAACCCATGTACCGTTAATAAGAGATTATTAGTGTGTTTTCTTGCCAAACCACTCGCTGTGTGCAGAAAAAAATAAATATAAAGTAGGTCCCCAATCACTTTTTCTCCACTTTTTGGATTCTTCCTTCAAGGCATGCCAGAAAAACAAGGTTTTCTTTATGAATTTAATGTAACGCAGGGTGAGCAACTGATATACAAATGGTTATTTGGGGGTGAAGTATTTCTTTAACTCTGTGTCGCTTAAGATAGCCCGCTGCACAGCGCTTAAATGTGCAGGAATCTAAAGCTTGGCAGGCCTGCCATGCCTTTTAACCAACGCTAAGGCTATGATCTTCAGGGGAGTTTTGGGCCAACTGCAGTTGGAAGTTACTTATTCATCTCACTTATATACTGACAGTATTCATTGTCAGTATTTATTTTTGCTACCTACCTTTTTAAGCTACCTTAAATATCCTTATCTATCCTACCTTCCCTGCTCTCTTCGCTCACCTCTTTATCCAGACCCCTTATATCTTTAGAGAAGCGTTTGCACTCTAGCTCCATGTCCTCAACATGGATCTCTCTCCAGGGAGTCATCCTCCATGCGGCCATGCTGGATTCCACCACGGTGATCATGTCCCACAGTTCCTTCAGCAGGCCCACTTCACGCCTTGGGGATGAAGGAGAGTGGACAGAGTGAATTCTCTTCAGGTACTGACGGTGAATGTAAAAGAGCATCTCTGCTACAACGGCTCATTAGTTTCAAATTTGGCATGGGCTTGTGGTATTTTCTTCTTCCAGCCTTGGGCTTTACCTGCATTGTCTGAGCTGTTTGTACTCAGAGACAGTGACCTCGAATAGGCTGGCAGAATCCACCAGAGAGGCCATCACTGCCTCCCGCTCCTGGATCTGCCGGTGGAATGCATCCAACATCTGGTAGGGGCTCTCGCTGTCAAACCTGGACGGATGCATGAGTGCACACAGGCACCCATCAAAACACACACACACACACTTGCACATTCCCAGTATAAATCAAGCTGTGCTTAGGTAATGAAGGGCTGCACTTTGCCAAGCCTGTACTGGCTGCAGCATAGCCAGGCCAGAGACTCCAGCGTTAACTGCACACTGTGACAATTAACAATGGCTGCCATGGCATTAATGGGAAAATAATCACCAGGTTATTAAGAGACCAATTACACACATAACTAATCTGACAATTAGACATTATGACGAAGCATCTCTACCTATGAATTAATTATCATTATGTTAAGATTCAATTAGCCTTGTCGGATGTGACAGCCTCGAGATAACACTTTACTCTATTATCAGGTGAGAAGGCAGAGAGGTGACATTCTTATCTTTTCAAAGGTGCTCGCTGAACTTAAGTCGCCAAGAAAACTATACGCTAGCACTATACATGCCTTCACTGACTCTGGAACCCTCAAATCAAATGGTTACACTTTATCGTCCCCCCCTACTATTGATCATTTACAATAAAATTTACAAATAAGCTACTAATAAATTGCTTTGAACACATAATGTAGCTGTACGCAGGCATAAGATCACTGAAAGTATTCAATAATGTAATTCCTCCTATGAAGCATTCATAACTGGTGTAAAACAGGTAATGATGATTGACAATATGACTTTACAGTTGTAATGATACTAATATGTTAATATGAAGCATGAGGTGTTTCTTTATATGTATTTATCGATTCTTCTGTCCACTCCATGACAGCAAAAATAAACTGATGAAGGCTTTAAGTTGCAGCTGAACAAATGTGTCTGAATACGGAAACATTCTCAAAGAATGTGTCTGCCAAACTGTCACTGACAACAGACTTATTTATTTATTTATTTATTTATTTATTCACTGCAATGTTCATTTTGCAGTATGTTATCTGCTTTTAGCCACTTAGGCATGATTCCTGTTTTCCCAGTTTTTTTATAGGCAACCAAGGGGGAACTACGCCCATTTTCAAAATTCATAAATTTTATGGGTTGCAATGGTACACCAGTTTCAAAATATACCAGCTTCAAAGTATACCGTGATATTAAAATTGAAGTTTATCGTACCATGTACATTTGCTTATCTACAATACTGAAAAAAAACCCAACTGGACAGAAAATCTCAACTTTCTTTCAGTTATTCTAAAAGGGAAGCTTTATTTACACATACTTCCATTAAAAAAAGGTTTAACGTTTTAAATATAGTAATAAAATGTTTGTTTAACCAAAAATAACTTTTCCATTTTAATTATTCAAGAGTCGTTGTGACAGATAATAATAATAATAATAATAATAATAATAATGATGCTGTAATACTGTGATAACGTTAAACTGTGATTTTTTCTGAGATGGTTATCTTACTATGAAAATGCCATACCAGTGTTAACAAACTCTCAGAGGCATAAAAAGACAATGTCAACTATACCTGAAGGGCCCAACGTTGCGAAAGTGCTCCCTAAAGGTGTGTTGCTCCACATCAAATGAAGCACACTTTCGACGCAGGCTGGCCACCTCGATGGCCTGCAGAGGCGCCACATGCTGTTTGACTAACACAGCCTGCTTTTTCACATTGTTCCACTGTTCTGGCAAGTCCTGCAGATAGACAGATAGATAAACAGATATGGAGAGAGGGAGATAAAGAAAAGAGAATAAAAGCAAGGAGGGCAGGAGTGACGGATGATGAATTGCCAGGAGGACGAGCACACAACAGTGATAGGTGATTGGAAGACACAAAGAAAAAGTAAGAGAAATGGCTCTGTCTCAGCTGAAAGCAACAGAAGAAAAAATATGTGCTGGTAAAAGTAATGTGAAGTGACTGAACATCAGTCCTCACCTCCAACTGTTTGTAGACCACGTCAGGCAGCTCTTGTTCATAGACCTTTAGCAGAGCAATGGTTTGCTGCAGGGGCTCAAACATGGCATCTGTGCCATTTTGTCTTTCCTTAACAGCCAGGAGGTGACCCAGGACCCCCACCAGGCCACCGTAGTCACCCTCCTCCACATGCTGGCTCAGGCCAGCCTCTGCAACACTGATAAACTTCTCCAGATCTGACAAACTGAGGGAAGATGACCATGATCGTTGAAGGGACACTCATTAAAGGGCATTTAATGTGTAAAATTGGCACAATTAATGCAATTATTTGACATATATTGCTACTGTGATATGAGCTGTGATTTTAGTGGGGATGCTAATTTTAGCATTTCATTTTCACTAATAAATATAAAAATGATGATGCTGTAGGGCTGCCCCTGACCAGGAATTTTCCCAGTCGACCAATAGTCATCTTTAGGGCCATTAGTCGACTAGTCACCCGCGTATTTACAATATTTATTTAGTTATTAAATTATATATTCTGGGCGGGGCAACACAATGGTTTGAGTTAAAGGTCTGAGAAAAAATAGTATAAGTAACATTTTTAACACTGTGCTACATTACAGAGAAATAGAAAACCGTACCAATAAACCTTCATTAATATAGCCTGTTAATGACGCTGTAGGCAAAGCAGTAATGATTGTGCTAAGTGGCTAATGGGCATGTAGCTACTTACATATATCAGATGATACGTCATGTTTGTAGCGGACGAATGATAGGCAAATGTATTCACATATCACCTTGGGTTCATCCTTCACCTTCTCAAAATGATCCAACACTTTGGATTTCCTGCCCGACATGTTATTAAATAGCCTGTGTAATAACTGCAGGTACCAGCCCTCTAAATTAGGGGCCGTACACATGCCGCGTCTTCAGCCACCTGGACACATGAGGTCAGGCTCTGGGCGCTACTCTTGCCTTTTTTGTGGCCAGCTTTCAAGAGCACAGCTGCAGGTTGCATCTGAGGTTGCTAAACAACCTTAACAAGCATCATATAGTCTATTTACCTGAAATCCTGAGTGCAGAGCTGATCTTCTTCAAGGCACTGTTTATAAGTGGGTAGGCCTGTTGTCCAGGGGACAGATATAAAGCTCTGAGTGGCCCTGCACTAAAATGATCACCTTTTCTGCATTTATCACAGACTGAATATTTACGGAAGCACTTCCTGTGTCTGTCCTTTCAAATTAAATTCCCACATGGTCCAGTCATATAGGTTTTGATTTATTTCGACAAGCCACAGCTCCTAATAGAATTTTACATCTGTTGTTGATGTTTTTTTTTCCTGCAACTAAGCGACCAATGAAATCTTGCCGACTAATGACTCTCCGATTGACTAACTTTTGGTCGACTGTTAAGGAGCAGCCCAATGACGCTGTGATTTTTAATGGGGTCTCTACTTAACGAGCATGTTCCTTTATGTCTGGAATATGATTTATAGGCCAGGGCATCTCTGTAGAACCACAATGCCTCATTAATTGTAGTATGCTGTGACACATTTTATCTTTATCAAAAAATTGCCACTCCTGCAATTTGGGTTTTGCACTTGGCCATACTGCAATTCTGATAGTATTTCGATTAATTTGCAGCCCTAATTATGATCAGTTATGCATCATGGCAAATATTCAACTTGTGAAACCAGATTTATAATGTCCTCTGTGACAGCAATGTTCATCTAAAGTTTGCTAACATTGGCAGCATTTAGTTACCGGTCATACCAGACCAAATAAGGCTGAAGCAACGAAACCCCTAATTGAGTACTTCACCTGTTGGTAACATGGTCGATGAGGTGCTGTTTGAACATAAAGCTCCACTTCTTGATGACGTTGAGCAAGGCACTCTTCATGCTACGGCCATCCACCCTCATCCAGCCGTGAAACACATGCACCGGCTCCAGACCCTGCACCTCTTCATAAATCTTCTCATACCTACAGTATGACAAACAAACAGATTTCAGTCAGGTAAGTGGGAGCTCAGCCTAACCTTTATGCTTTTTTAAACTTTTCTTTAACCTACACTTAGGCCCTGTCTATACATATGAAAATGACCAAAAAATGACCACAGATACACAAACAGAAGCTCACACACTCTACTTGACTAATACCCACCTGTCCACCTGTTCTCTAAATTTATCCAATGTGGGTGGGCTCCCTGAAACGCCATCATCAGCATCAACCTCCGTCTCCTGGCTGGTGAGAATGTGGCCGTACTGAAGGAACTGACGCATGAACTCCTTCCTGTCATCCACATACAGGTAACTATAACGCTCCAGAGAGTTGCGAAACTCGCAGCATGTTGCCATGATGCCCTGCACGCGTTCCATGAGGAGATGACGCATGTCAGCCAGATCAGCCATGTCCTCCATGTCAGCCTGAGGGGAAATTTTGATAGTTTGATAATGACAGTGATCTGCAAATGAAAGTAATTAGAAGTTATGGATGTTGAGGCTGCATCAAAGCATCAGTACCTGGTAGTGTGGGAAGGGGCTATGTTGGGCCAGACGTGGCACCAGTGAGGAGGTTCTGAACACATCATTGATGAGGCTCTCCACCAGCTCAAAGAAGCTGTCTCCTGCCCCAAACTCCAGAGATGGAGTGAACACCATGTCAGGGACCTTCAGATCTAGCTGAGCCTCAAACAGAGGGGCCACCACAGCTCTCTGGTCTGGACCCAAAGGAAGCAAACAGTAGAAACTTCAGTGGAAACACTAGTAGTGTAAAACATAATTTGATGTTTGATTTGTCATAATTGAAAATGTCTGTGTTTAGGCGTTTACACACCAGGGGCGGGACAAATATATGACACAAAAATGCAAAGTATTTGCATGCCAATATTCTGCATCAAAACTATTCATAAACAGCAGTGGTATAGATTTGCAACAACACTTAGTCAATATAATGTTTTGATGTAAATAAATTCGCCAGCAGAGATGCAAATTTACAACGACTTCAGGGACCCTGCTGACCCAGAGTACCTTCTGGCAGTCTGTCTGAGGTAATTTTTCTTTATAGCCTGAGCTACTAGAAGCTGTTTTTTTGAGTTTCCTTTTAGCAAAATCTTCTGGGTGAATTTGAGTTCCCTCTGTTAAACAGTAACGCAGTTTATATGTCTAAGGCTTCTACTGTGAAAGGTAAGAATGGAAGGAGTGGATCTAGTGTGCGCTACCTTTGTCAAGGTTGAAAGGTGTAATAAAGATTGGCGTCTTGGTTCAGACTATGGAGCCTGCATGTTGTTGTTTAATAATCCTAATAAGTATAGGTGCAATGTGATTGGTAAATGCCTTATACATGGTGCCAAAGCTCAGAAAAAATGACCTTGTTTCAAAATAAAAATTCTGTTTCTTTTGTTGCTGCTTAACATTTGCATTTTGTGTAAAGATACTCATGACAAAAACAACAGTTTAAAAAATTTACCAAATTAATTGCACAAAATAAAATTCCCCCAATGTGTAACAGCCTTTACTCTGAAAAGATAAAAGTTAAGACTTATTTTTCAGTGGATTCAAAAATTTCACCAAATATGCTCTCCAGACTGAAAACCAGTCATATGCCGAGGAAGACTGCAATATGACCAAAAGCTCAAGAACAAGGGAATAAGTAGACCTTTACTTCAAAGTGTTTTGGGTGAAGGTTATATTGATCATTTAGTTGAGTCTTTATAAGAACATAAATCATTTCTCTGTTGGTTATCTTTATTTCAAGGATCTGTGCTTGACACAAAAACAACTGTTACACTGAGTTTTGGGTCCTTGCTAATAATCTACCAGTGCATTTCTTAAATGGGGGTATGCTTACCCCCTAGGGCTACTTTGGAGTATTGCTGGGAGGATGTGACATCTTAAAAAAAATGTTAATTTGAAAATATCAGCCATGCATAATTTCTAAAATATTAAAATTGTAAGTACAACATTCAATGTATCAAAAAGATGCAGTTCAATGCAACTACAATTCTGTCTTAGTGTTAATGGATAATGACAAAAATTGTTCGCCATAAATTTAGTAATGGATTCTAAACATTTGAAGAGTAGCATTTAAGTGATTTTCAATTAAACGTTGTTGTTCAGTAAATCAGACACTGATGACACTTTTTTCCGATCAAAAATGTTTTGTGATAGTCAGGGAGTACTTGGCTGAAAAAAATATTTCAAAGCTGGTGCATTATTAAAAAATGTGAGCCACTGATCTAGCAGAGATAATATAATACTGCAGCAGCCAGCACATGGAGTGAAGTGATTCTCCATCGGGTCAACATCATTTTACAGAGGACAGCCCTGTGTTTTTCAAGCAAAACAAAACTCCATAAAAAGAAAAGTGGTGACGGTTATTTCCTTAGTCTCGAGAGAGTGGTGGTACTGTTATCATTGTCTGTTCACTCAGTTCAGAACTTTCCTTATCAGAAATGACTTTTTGAACCGGTATGAGGAGAGGAAGAAGAAGTGGATGAAGTAGAAGTAAAAGAACACTAAGAAAGAGAAGAAGAACTGGACACAGTAGCAGTCTGGCAACAATCCGCCAAATCTTGAACCACATCCCAGTCCATCTAAACCAGCTGACAAAACTCATGCCAGCAACCAAGTCCAGATCTATTTTATGTCCACAGCCAATACAGGCGGACACCCAATTGACATCAAAACCCCTGAGGATGCCTTGCTAGGAAGCTGTCCAAGTGCTGGCTGACAATGATGTTTTTGGTTCACTGTGGAATCGTGTTTGGATATTACATTTTAGGTTGGCAGCATGAGTCTGGCTTTGAGACAACAGTAGTAACATCATTAACATCACTACAACATACTACAAACATTGAGCGTTTATTTTTGCAATTTTTCTATTGTCGGTAGTTCATGAATGTCCTACCAGTGTTATCCAAGAAGAACTTGAGAGAGCACTCGATGCTGTTGAAGAATCCATCTATGATCATGTCGTCGATGTAGTCAACGTAGGCCTTCCACTCCTCAGAGGCCTGCTCAGCTCTGAACAGCTGCAGATTGCTCTATGACATGACAAAGCCAGAGACTTACACCAAATAATCATCTCCACCACATTTGACAATTCCAAAGCCAATCCCCTGACTTCGTAATAAGCTCGTAGAATGATGAAATGTCACATGACACAAGGAAACCTTTTTTTAATCACCTTTAGCAGGAAGTGAATCTTTTCTCCAGAAGACCGTATCAGACTGTAAAACTTGTCCAGCCTCTCGGCCCTGTCCTCCAGACTGAGCAGTGCATCTTTTTTGCCCTCCTTCCTGTCAAACATGGGGCTGGCCCAGGACCTCACGCAGCTCTGGATCTCCTCCACATTGTCCTTGGTCCTCTGGAGTCGGCTCTCCAGGTCACAGACGGAGTCTCGCACTTCCTGGATATACTGCCAAATATCTAGAGGGTAATGGATGATAGAGATGGTGGTTGAGAGGGCAAAGGAACTGAAAAGTTAGGTTATGTGACTAAAACACTGGACTACTGAAGGAATTTAGATACAGTACGTTTGAAAAGTGGCTAGCTCTGCATTTAAAAAAACTAACCTGTCTCACAGGTTTTTCCTTCCTGGAATATTTGCTCTGTTGTGGCAGGTGGACTTGGACAGGATTTAAAACCTTCACATTCTGAACCAATACAAACTCAAATTAAACTGAACAAATACTAAATTACCATTTTTTTTTAAAATTGCTCATTGTAGCTCTTACCTTAAAATTAAACTTCTGGCAAAAGCTTATTTATTATGACTCAAAGTGTACAGCCACCACTAGTTGCTTGTGATGGCCCTTTTTCAGCAATCTAAGACGTTTGGCATATCATATTTATCACATTCACCATCTTAGTTTAGCATGTTAGCATGCTAACATTTGCTAATTAGGTCAAGACACAAGTACAGTTTATGTCGATGGGGATTCGTTTTGAAGGTATATGGTCATAAAATAAAGCAATGATTGGTTCTGATTGGTTGGTCAATACGCTCTTGTCCCACCAAATTCTCATCGTACAGACAATCATTGATGTTGCATCTGGTTGCCATAATATGTAATATCCGCAGAAGTAAAAATGTTGGCCCAAGGTAGAGAACTTGATCTGCCTGAGGGGAAGGCTGAAGCATGTAGGGAGACAAAGCAGACCTGCCGGTCTTTGTGGGCCCAATATTCATTTCTCCTCCATAATACTTTCCTCTGTTGTTGTTGGCACCGCTAAGCAAAGTCTACCTAGAGGACTCCCTGCCAGAAAAGTATTTCTTAGTTAAGGTTAAGAAAAAAAATCTGGTTTGGCTTAAATGAACAGAATTCAGAAGGGGCCTCCTGGCAGAAAGCCTTCTAGACAAAGTGTGCTTAACAAGCACATGGGAGAAGGACATGATGTGATGGTTGGTCTTTGTGGTTTTTGTCCTACCCCTCCTCCACAATGATTGAACTGCTGGGTAAAAAGTGACAGTGATGAGCACAGTTTTTACCCAAAGTGGATCATTTTCAGCTCTCAGCAACCAGAATGGCAAACATGCAGCAGAATATACATTCAGCACATCATCACCCTGGAGTTTTTTAGCGTAGTGTAAATATGCAGAGAATAAGCATCTCGACCAATCGACTGGCTGAAGAGTAGGTGGAATTTCAGTCAACCAAGATTTTCTTTGGTTGACTGCAACCCCAGTATTGTTGAAGTGGTGATTATGCTCTGACAATGTCCCTAGATGGAAAGTCAGAGGATCACTAAGTCATTGTAGTTTATTCTGAGGGGATCATAGACACCTCCACCATCTGGGCACCATGAATGTGACCAAATTTTGTGGCAATGCATCCGATATTTGCAACAATGTTTCAGCCTTGACCAAAGTGATGGATGGCCAGACAGACTCACATTTCCTAATGAGGAATCACACCACTAGTGTGGCTAAAAAAAAAAATAGATTATCCAGTCGATTGGTTCGGCCATTCTTCGGGGTGATATTTCAACTGATATTACTTCACCACTAATATATCAGTACTGCCAATGTTAGTGTTATTAGCTATTGTCTGCCAATGAGTAACAAGAAACTGCACTACAGAAATGTCAACGGTATGTTTGAGGTGATTCAGAAACATGTCAGTATGACATTATTTGTGTAAGGGAGTACTGACACATTTATTTTTTGAGTGTAAATGTCCTCATCAAAAATGTTTTTTTGCTGTGTTTATTTAATGAAGTTAATATGGGGCGACAGTCAGCAGTTTCCAATTATATGACAGCAAACAGCATAAAATCCCAACATCAGGTGTTTAGTGCAGTGTGAGCAGTGAACCTATCAACAATTTATCAACAATAAAACGCAGCATTGAGCATCAGTGTGACAGGCTTTAAAAGGAAAATTGGTGTCTGAAATTACTAAAAGAGGGGAAAAGTAATGTATCTGATGCAATGGTAATATACATGTGAATCTGTTATAAGCTCTAAAATGGAAGGGATGATGCATTTCCCTATGAAAGTACATTTTCCACTAAATAATCCAGTGTTTGTCAGGGCTAGAAAATATAGAGAAAACAGCTGACCTATGCACTTTCAACAAATAAATCTGAAGCAGACACGCTTTCTAAAAATGTACAGAATGCATGCGCACACACACACACAC